CAGGGAGGAGTGATAGGGAATGGCAAAGGACACACTGACAAAGAAGATTAATCAGAACTGGCTTTGACAAGCACTGTAGCACTTGGACAAGAACAAACTGGGAGGAGGGTACAGAGAATAGTGCAACAATGAATGAATGGAAACCCAAAATCTCTGTAAATGTTTATGAAAATTAATAAAATATAGAAAAAAAAATGTTTGAATGGGGCTTCAGTTTCATTGTTTGCCCTCATATTTTCTGTAGCCATCACTCTGCTGGTGACAGAGGCTGGGACAGCAAGAAGACTGGACTGGAGTGGAGGAAGCCAGGATGAGGGGGTGGAGAGGGTCTAGGTTCTGCACGGTTATGGAAGGGACACATGATGGCTTTTTCTCCCTGTGTGATGGGAAGCAGTTTGAGGCCTGTGTTTAACAATACGGGCACAGTCAGTATTTTAAGGTTATTTCCAAGTTTAAGGTTAATTCTGGTCTGTAGAAAATTGTCTGGAGGCAGGGGTGGGAGGGTGGTAAGATAAGGCAGATAGAATGGCCTGTTAAAAACCAGGTGAAGGTGTACCTTGGACCAGACAGCCCCAATGGATGGTGGGAAATGCCTGGAAACTCTTTGAAGGTGGGGCCAGATGGACTTGTTGGTGATGCAATTTTATGCACATTTTAGTTTTTAAAAACTGTGGGTTTTTTAAATGTCAACCAGTGGACAGAGGGTGCAGCGGGGCAGCTCTGTGTCCACCAGGGTGGCTGTGTGGCGTCCACTCGCGGGCACACAAGAACAAGCGAGAGCACCCCGGGACCCCGGGAGCCAGGGGTACCGTTCACGGGCTGAAGATCAGGGGAGCAACAGGAGGGATGGGAGGATTGGGTTTGCAGGAGTTGTGAGAAAAGTATGAGCCTTGATCACCATATATTAAACATCACTGGCGCCCCGCTCCTTGTTCGCATTAAGCCAGAGGCATCACCAGGGAGGGAGGCCCCCAGGGCTCGCAAACGCTGGTCCTAGCTTTATGATTCCGTAGGTCTGGGTAGAGCCTGAGAAGTTTAATTTCCAACAAGTTCCCAGAAGCGCATAGTCTGCGGTCTCGGCCTCACTTTGGACCGCTGTCCCCGCGAGCCCACTTTCCAGAGAAGCTCAGGGGGATCCGGGGAGAACGTGCTGGCTTCTTCGGCCAGGCCACCCACCGTGCGTTGCTGGGCAGAGCCGGGTCGCGCGCACTCCCATTGGCCGCAGGTGGGCCGCGCCCCGCCAGACAGGTAGTGAGCCCTGCGCCTCTGCGATTGGGCCGCGGACGCGGGATCCCCTGAGGATTGGCTCAGGTGGCGGCCTGACGGCGCCCTCATTGGCCACAGGTGCCACCGCCCCCGCTCCAGGATCGCCGCGCCCAGCCGATTGGCCGCCGGCTAGGCCTCGGGTCGGCCATATTCGGACCCCTCCTCCTTCCCCTCCCCCGGGGCACCTATCGCCCGCACTCGGAGCGAGCGCGCTGCCGTCTGGTCGCGCGCTCCGGTTTGGCCGCGCCCCCGTCTCCGCCCCGCGGCCCGGTCCCCGCCCCGCGCCCAAGTTCCCCTGGAGTTAGCAGAGCTGGCGTCGGTTGTCTGCGCGTCTCTCCGTTTCCACTCCGTGCTCTACCTTCCGCGTTCCGCCGCAGGCCACACCTGATCTCGCCGCGTCCCTCGTCAGGTGCGCCCCCATCCATGGTCTGAGCATCGGCGCAGCCTGAGGCACGGTCCTGACGGCCGCCGGGAGCGCCATGCCCAGCCGGACGGGCGTCAAGATGGACGGGAGCGACAGCCTCGTCCTCCTGAAGGCGCACTACAGCGGGTGAGTGTGCGCCCCGACGGCCCGCAGACCCGACCGCGGGCGGCGGGAGGTGCTTTTGCGAGTCCCGAGCCGGGGGCTGCGGTCGCGGGAAGACAGCGAGGCCCTTCCGGCCCAGGTGCGCCCCGGGAGGTTCAGACGCGCCAGCGCCGAGAGGCGGCCCCGGGCGCCCTTGAACGTCCCCCGCCTGAGCCTGGCTCTGGCTCCCGAGGCTCAGGGTGGCCGGGCCGGACTCGGCAGTGCGGCTGGGTGGAGGCGATTCTCGGCCTTTGCTGAGGATCCCGGTGGCGGAGCGGGCAAGGGGGATGGTGGCAACGGTTGACATTTCCACTGGTTGACATTTTAAAAACCCACAAAGTTTTTAAAAACTAAAATGTGCATAAAATTGTGCACACTTCAGATAGGTTAAAACAAATTTATAGAGTTTCCTAAACTTCTCTGCAGCTTTTTGGACTAAAGCTCTCAGGTAGAAAACTAGTGTCTTGCAGCTGGGGACAGGTGCAGCCAGCGGGCGCGCAGATAGGGGCGTGAACCGGGGACGCTGACAAGGGCGGCGCGGTTTGTCTGGGGTATTTCCCAGGGCTTGGGCTTTTGCATCTGTCTGCGCGCCGGACGGCCTGGACTCCACTTATCTAGCTGTGAAATGGAACGAGTCGGCACCTCGTAGGACTCAAAGGGCAGCCCCTGGTAGAGTGGAGCGGACTCAGTGGCTTAGCGAAAGGAAGGCGCGCATTGGAGGGGCGAGCGTGGCTCTGTCGCTAGGTGCCCTCAACTTTTGGGACCTTGGGGCTCCTGGAGGGGAGCCTGCATACCAAGTAGAGGGAGGCCCAGTGTTGCCCAGGCTGGTGAACCCCGTAATTCAGTTTTAGTGATTTGGAACTTCGTTCTTAAGAAGAAGCAAGTTCAAACCTTCCTCAGAATTCCCGACCTAGACAGCGCTCTGCGAGTCGGTGATCTCTCATCCTGAGAAGGACCCACAGCCTCTCTTGATAACCAGCCAGGCCCCTGGAGCAGTTGACGCCCTAGGGTGTTTTCCAAAGTGGGCAATCTCCTTTGCGTGCGTGCGCGCGCGTTTGTCTCCAGCCCCCTCGCCCTCAGGGCTTTCTAGAATTGTGTTGATGGCAGAGCCCAAAGGAAGTATTTTGGGGTGGGAGGGGGTAGGTTTGGCCAGCAACTTCCTGAGAGGTCAGGGGTGCTCTCCTGACCCCAGATGGTAGATTAAAATATATCCACGAAGTTTTGGTCCTGCAATGCCTGCAGGTCCTGGCTCGCCTTTTGGGAACATTCTGTGTAGAGGCCTTTTCCCAGCCAGAACGACCCTTTCCGTTGAGCATCAAGTAGCATGTCTGAGCACTGGCGCGAGCAGAGCGCAGACCCAGCGCCTCCAGACATGAGTGTGGCCACGCTGGGATGGGCAGGACCTGAGCCCCAGGCTCGGGGTTGCAGGGAGGGAGAATCCAGGGTGCCGGTGGCCCATCGCAGAGTTGGAGGGCCCTGCTGTGGGGAGTGCTGCAGCGGCTCAGCCCACCCCGTTCCTTGGGCCCCTGGGGAGTGCTTCACTTACCTGGCATCCAGTAATGCGACCTGCTGACTCCAGTTTCAAGGACTGAGAAGGAGGCTGCGCCCCCACCCTGCCTCTTCCTTTACCCCATTCCCTTCCCTCTTCCACTCTCCCCCAACAGCCCCGTCCTATTACCTTTCTTCCCCCTACCTCTCCTTTTCTCTTCACTCTCCACCCCTCCCTCACACTTTCCTGATGCTCCACTTCATCACTTACCTCCTCTCCCTCCCTCTCTCTATCCCCTATTCTCCTTCCCTCTCCTCTGTCCTCCCGGTGTCCTTTTGTTCCCTTCCCTGTCCCTTTGTGCCCACTTTCTTCCCTTCTCTCCACTTCTCTTTCTCTTCTGGTCCTCTCCTCTCCCAGGCCTCCCCATCCCAGCCATTCTTCCTGACACCTGCTTTTTTTCTAAAGCTTCTACATTGGCTACTTCTGGAGACTCAGTACTCTAGGACCCAGGATTTTGAGAGTGGAGAGGTCTAAACTTCAGAGCTCAGCAGTTGCTGTGTTCTGGGAAGTGCTCACTTAGATGGAGTGACTCAAGTGTGAGGCTGCTATTCAGAGGAAGGCTGTGGGTTCCCCCTGAATCAAGTCTGGGGGCTTGGCAGTGGGCACTGGACTGAGGCATTCCTCATGTACACACACTCATGATGATCTTGACTATCTAAGGTGTCTTGGTTTATCAGGGAGACTTTCATTATAAAAATGGGATTCAGGTAACCTTGATGGGGAAACCAACCATGTTAATGGCAAGCAGAACTTGTGTTTCTAGAGTTTGGGGTGCCTGGAAAGTCCTACATCATCCCCAAACTGTTAGTTTGCTAAGGATTGCTGGAATAAAGGCCCATAACTGGGTGAGTTCTAAGAAAAGAACTTTATTATTTCCCAGTTCTAGGGACTGGGATTTGAAACCAGGGTATTGGCCTTCTTGTTGATACCTCCTGAGGCTCAGAGCATCTGTTCCTGCCTGTCCCCAGCTCCTGGGGGCTTCCGATGTGGCTGTCTCTCCTAGCTCTGCAGCATTCGTAACTTCTGCAAAGTTGCTATATTCAAACAAGGTCACATTCACTTGTACTGGGGTTGGGATTTCAGTGTCTCTTGTTTGGATGACAAGTTATGAGACTTTTCCTCTGAGTCTAGGTTTTTCTTTAAAAAGTATCTGGCCTAGTGGCAAGACGCTGCACTGCAATCCCAGAGGTATGCGGTTCAGATCCACCAGATGCTCTTGCTGGAGAAGGAGGGGGCAATCTCCTCCTGTACCAGTCAGATCTGATTTGACGGTACACATAAAAATAATACAATAAACATTTTTTTAAAAAGTATCTGAAATTGTGTAATAGCTGTACGGAAAGAGTGTAAACCATTCCTCTAGACTGAAAAAACAAAAATGCCGAGTTTTGATAGTGAAATTCCTTCATTTCCTCTCCCATCTCTTCAAAGTTATCACTCTCATGTTCTTTGCAGGAGTGAGCTTTGGGGGAGGAGTAAGAGTTTTTATCAGATAGTTCAGAATTTTAATCTGGTGCCAGGCAGGTGCTGCTGCCTCACTTTCCACTGGAAAGAAGTGATTTTCTGATCTAAGGGTTTCCCTGTGGGAGTCTCACCTTGAATTTTCTATGTGGCTTATGCAGATCAGTGTGGCAGATAGTCATATCTTCTTTATACAGGAGAAATTAAGGTCACAATTTTTTTTTAAAAAAACAGCAATAAATGATGGTCAGCTTTATTTTGTGTATATATGTATGTGGTTAAACACTTTTTTTGAGGGGAGAGAGTTCATTTTATTTTTTAAAAAAATAACAGCTTGATGGCAGCTACTCTGTAGTTAATTAATAAAACTACTGTGTGAACTGATTACTGCCAAGATAAACTAAAATAAAAACTTTATTTTAGGAAAAAATAACAGCTGTTGTTAAATCAACTTTGTGCAGATTCTATGATCGGCTGATTTTCAAGATAGATCACCAGGATTTTCATCTAGAGCATCTCCATCTCTGGGTGAACTTGAACCTCTGCCCTTCAGCCAGCAGCTGAATTTGTTCACCATTATTGCCACCAGGCGCTCCATTTAATTGATACCTTGCCCCATCCATAGTCAGTATTGTGTTTGTTTCATTCTGGTGGTGAGATGGCCCTTGTCCTTTCTGCCCAGGGACATTGTGATCACAAGCCTGAATGCAGCCATCACCTTCGAGAAGCTATGTGAGGACTTGCGGGAGATGTGCCGACTGTGTCAAGACCAGCCGCTCACCCTCAAGTGGGTCGACAATGAAGGTAGCCCTGCCCCCCCCCCTTCCTGAGCCCCAGCATTTGACAGTCCTACAGCTTTGCCGGATCATCTCTGTGCTTGGCATCCCTGGGCATGTTGAATACCACAGAGCTAAATTTGTGCAGCCAGCTTCCCTCTAGCAGGAACCTTTGGAAGTGATTTCCAGGAGGGAGATGGGTTGTTGTTGATTTAAGGGAACCTAGGTGTTGGGGTGGGGTTGTGCTGATGGATGTCCATGGGGGCCCCCTCTCCTGAACACCAGGAAGAGGGCAGCAGGTATCTCCCAGCTCCACTTGGGTGGGTCTTTTCCCGCCTCGTCTGACCTTCCTTCCTCATATTCTGGCTTTTTCCAGAAGCATGAGCTCTTCATTTTCCCAGGAAACATGGAGAGGGGAGGTGAGCTCAGCCTCTCTCTCTCCTACCCCCTTCCTGTCTCTTTTCTCTGTTTCTCTGTCCTCTGTCTCTTTCCTGTCTCTGTGTATGTTTCTCTCTCTTTCCTCACATCTCTCCCTCCCTCGTTCCCTCTCTCCTGTATTTATCTCTCTCACCTTCTCTTATATACACACACATTCACACACTCACGAACACATACTTAGTTAGGAAGGAGGTGGCTCTGAAGCCTAGAAGAGTATCCTTGGTGCTGGGTTATTTATCGGTTCTTATCCAGCAAATCAGCGGTCTTCTGTGGCCCCAAAACCTATAGCATACTTTGCTGTAGTCATGTCACTTTAACAAGTTTTTACTCCCATCTCCTCTGAGCCTTCCAGTCAGACGAGGCCCAGAGATGCTTCTTAGATGAACCATCATGATGGCTGCCCAAGGAGTACTCAGTTCAAACTTGTGTTGGTGGGCAATGGTGGACCTGAAAAAACGATGTTCATAAAATGTATCTGACCAGTGAATTAAAGAAGTATTTGGCCACCTTGGGTGAGGAAGTCCATTCCCTCGTGTTCCTCATCAACAGAGGATGGATTAAATGCAGCGTGTGGAATATGACTGGCCAGGAGAAATTTTTTTTTCATTATTATTAAATTTTATTAGTTTTAGTGAACATTTACAGAGATTTTGGGTTTTCATTCCTTCATTGTTGCACTGTTTTCTCTACCCTCCTCCCCAGTTCGTTCATCTTCCCCCCTCCCCAATGTCTGTTTTAATTGTCCAATTGCCACAGTGCTTGTCAAAGCCAGTTCTGATTCATCTCCTTTGTCAGTGTGTCCCTTGCCATTCCCTATCACTCCTCCCTGAGAGAGACTTCACCCTGAGTCATAAGGAAAAGGGGATGGCGTAGTCTCTTAGCTACTTCCTGCTGAAATGGGACGCTGTAGGTTTCAGGGTGAAGATCTTCTCTCACTACTCTAAAGGGCCCCTTTGGCAGTAGGAAACACATAGACTATTATGGAGATTGATTTTGGAATTTAGATGCACTCTTATTGATTGTGCTTAGCCGTACATGTTCATATCCTTGAAGATGTATCATGGAAGTGTTGCAGCCTAGAAGATACAAATTTAACTAACAAGTTAAAAGTACATGAGTCAAAAATTAAAAAGCAGTAATATTCCGAGTAGCGGTTCTAATAGTGGCACAAATCAAGTTACAGAGGGAAGGTAGTTCTTAGAATAAAAGGCCTATAGACTAGCACTTAGTCTATTATAGTGTAGAGGTTAGGGACCACAAGATGTAGAGGCTCAGCTATGTCATTTATGGTTCTTAAGTCCTGGAGGAAATTCCATCTACCCCTGGGTTGTTTTACAACTCGGAAGTTCGAATGCAAGGTAGAGGTGTAAAGTAAGGAACTGCTTATGAGGTTTTCCGTCCATTCCAACAACTAAGAAATAGTGAGAAGAGTTGGGACCTCAGAAGGCTTTTAGGATGGCCAGGAGAAATTTGAGGGACTGAGCAATGGCTATTATCTCCAAACCCAGTGTGCCATTATGATGTTTGATGTATCAGTGAGAGTTACCTATAAGAACATGCCTAACTGGCATAGGGAGCTGGTTTGAGTATGTGCAAACACCCCATTTTGTTTGGCAAAGTGGACATTAAGGACCGGAAAGTTAAGGCAAAATCCATTTTCCACTGAAAGAAGAATCTTCAGTACTATAATATTTCTGTCAAAAGTAACTACAACCTGGAAAAGCCTTTCCTTTGGCTTGCTAGAACTGATTGGAACCCCTAACTTTGTTGCCATGCCTGCTCTTGTCTCACCACAAGTTGTCATGGACCCAGCTTTGGCAGCATGACATGAGCATGATTTAGAGGTTGCACTGACAACTGCTCTCCCAGACGAGGATGACGATCTGTGAGAGAAGAAGCTGGAGCCCAGTGTCAGAGGTCTAGTGTTATAGACAACTATCCAGTGATGTCAGTGGTGCCGCATGAGCAGAACATGTGCTCATCTTTGGTTGGGATGCTGAAGGACATGAATGTCTTTGGAGAGAGAGTGGCAGTAAGAAAACCCTTCCATTTTTTGGACCGGTATATTTAGCTCTTTTGGAAAGCACCTGTTTCCTTCTTGAGTTTCAATTAGAAGATTGCACATCACAATATTCTGTGGTAAAATCTTGTTTATTACTGTCATTCCAATGACTTTTTGTTTAGAACCAGGATGGAGTTGTATTTCAGATCTTGTAAAAAAAATTATAAATGTCAACGGTTGTAGGGGATCTTCAGGCTTTTTGTTCATAGAGTCACTATGAGTCGTGCTTGACTCAAAGGCAATCAACAGCAACTTATATGCATATATTCACAGATGCATTTACACAAATGGGTATGAAGTAATGTTATGTGCCATTGAGTGGCTTGCGACTCAGAGTGACCCTATGTACAACAGCCCTAAACCCTGCTCTATCCTGTGCCAATCACACTGTCTGTGACACACCCATCCCAATTACCCCAATCACTGAATCAATCCACCTCATAGAGGGTCTTCCCCTCCTGCGCTGTCCCTCCACCCTCCCAAGCATGATGTCATTCTCCAAGGACCAGTCTCTCCTTACAAAATATCCAAAGTATGTTAGACAGAGCCTCAGAATCCCTGCCTCCAAGGAGCAGCCCGGTTTAACCCTCTCCAGGATGAATCTGTTTGTTTTTTTTAGCAGTCCATGGTACATTCAATACTCTTCTCCAGCACCACAGCTCAAAGGCATCAGTTCTCCTTCTATCCTCCCTAATCATTGCCCAACTCTCGCATAACAAGTGATTGCAAAGACCATGGCTTTTATCAGATGCACTTATCAATAACAGTCTTTTGATAAAGTGTCAGTCACTTTGCCCCTCACCCCTTCTGTTTCTGTTGCATGTGGCACTTACAGCATTGGTTGTGGCCACTTCTATTGTCTCAACTAGTGAGAGATGGGAGGAGCCTTCCTCTTCTGTCAAGACTGACCAAAAGAGAATGTTCTAGGATTATTGATTTCATGAACCAGAGTCATAGCATGTCTGGATTCCTCATGCCAGCATTCCAGGGCCCTGGGTGGGCTCATCTCCCTCTAGGAGACCAGCTGCCTCTGGGGGAACCTCAAACTGGCTGATCTCTGATGTCTCCAGAGCTTAGGACTGCTGGCCTGGGCCAGAGACCTGTCCTGCCTTTGCTTACTTTAATAGCATGCCATGGTGGCCCTTGACACTGGCCTCAGCAATGTCTCTTCTCTGCCAGGAGACCCCTGCACCGTCTCCTCCCAGATGGAGTTGGAGGAGGCCTTCCGCTTATGCTGTCAGCACAGGGATGAAGGACTCATCATTCATGGTGAGTGACCAGTGGTCAGGGGATGGGCACCCTGCTGTGGGAGTTAGGGGGGACATGGGGATCCTTTGTAGCCATGGACAATTTAAGTGGGACTAGACAGCACAAAAGGCCACAGTTTAAAACGTTTTGAGGCCAGAGGATTTTAGCCCATTGAATCAATGTCACAGGTTTTTAATTTTTTCAGTTGACCTAAATAAAAGAACTCATTGATATCACATCGGAACCAACCCATTAACTGACCTTCCATTCGTTTCCAGGGCTGTAAATCACAGGGAAGGAGACTGCCCATTTTTCTGTCTCAGAGTCACTGGTGAATTGAGACCACCAGAGAAGTCCCTGTGGACTAAGCCACCACCAGAGTACCTTATTACAGGGTGCGGTTACTTGGAAAAAGTCTGTAAGATTAGGTACAGCAAAGGTGGCTTCTCACAGGCCCTGGGACCACGTCCCTCCCTGTGTCCCTGGTTCTCATGCCCTTCCTCTCTGGGAGCCAGGACTTGCTCCGGGTGGAAGGTGCTGGGTCTCGCTCGTTGTCCACTTGTCCGTGACACACTTGGTCAGCCCATGTGCTGGCAGGTGGAGCAAGGTGGATGGCCTGGCAAGTTCCTCTCCCTGTATCCTTGTGAAAAGGTTATTTGCTTTCCTTGTATCCTTGTCACTGCTCAAGGACAGAACTGATTGCCATCCTGCTTTCCCTCGGGATTGTCTTCAGGCTTACAGTATTCCTTGACTTTTTAAGCTAAGTGGTTTATAATCTGGATAACAGGAAAAGTGAGTCTTGATCATCCCAGGTGGTATCTTCAAGTTAGAGTTTTCAAGTTGGGGTCCTCCAACATTTTGGGGGTTCCCCAGGCTATCCTTGGAGCCTGAGAGAGTGTGTTTCTGTTGGCATTTGCCTTTTGCTGGGGCTGGGCACAGACTACCACCTAAGAGCAGACATCAGAACAGGAAACTACTCAGTTTCCTGTTGATTCAGTCACTGTCCCTGATACTGACCAGTGGTGGGAAAAAAACACAGTTGGGAATTTATTTTCTTTTATTTGAAAGTGTGTAAATCATATGGATTTTCATATATTCATACACATTTTGTTTTATAACATTTCTTTAACATTAATTACAATTTAGTCTTGTAATTACAGTGTCTCATCAAACCCTTATTGGAAAATACCATTTTTATCACATTAATAAGGATGAAATTTTTTGCTCCTTTTTTAATTTTAGTAAATATATGGAACAAATTTTTTACCATATTGATATCCTTCCCGTATAAGATTCTGTCATGTGATATGTTTATTGTATTTCTCAGCTGTTGTCATTGACCATTTCCTGATCTCCCCATCACCCTTCGTCGAATGTGCAAGTGCAGAGTTTAATGTAAAGCCCACCATCCCAAACCACAACCAGATCCACTGCCGTGGAGTTGATTCCAACTCATGGCAACTTTGCATTTGTTTTTCCAAGACTATAAATCTTAGAAGGAGGAGACTATCCATCTTTTTCCTCAGGAGCAGCCGGTGGATTCAAACTGCTGTTGTTTTGGGAGAGTAGCCCAACACTTAGCCTACATTTCCACGAGGGCATCTTCTAGCCAACCACTGTTTTTATTGTTAGATGCTATACGATGGAGTACGATTCACAACAACCCTGTGAATAACTAATCTGAACCCTCTCCTTCCTGCGCCATTCCTGTCATCCCTGACACGCTTGAGCCCAGTGCAACCAGCAGTTTGTCAGTCCATCTTGCTGAGGCTTTCCCTCTTTTCGCTGACACTCCACCTTTTTAAGCATGATGATCCTCTCCAAGGAATAGTCTCTTTTAACAATATGCCCAAAGTATAAGAGACAAAATTTCACCATCCTTGCGTCCAAGAAACACTCTGGTTGTACCTTCTTGGCAGTCCATGGAATACACTTTGCATCACAATGCAAAGGCTTTAATTCTTCTTCTGTCATCCTTATTCATTGTTCAGCCACCAGATGCCTGGCAAGTGATTAGAAAGATCATGATTTGAATTAGGCGCCCCTTAGTCTTTAAACTGACATAATTGCTCTTCAAGCCTTTGGTGAGGTCCCTGACAGCAGACTTGCTCATTGCTGCACATCTCCTCCTGACTGCTTGTACCAAGAGTGTTGATTATGGCTCCAAGTAAGATGAAATTATTGATAGTTTCCACCTTTTATGATGTTGCCTTGTGACCCTGTGGTAAGGATTTTGTTTTCTTGATGTTGAAATAGGCTGCTATATATACTGTGATGGCAAACACACTGGTTTTGTCTTTCTATTTTGAGGGGTCTGGCACCTTCAGAAATCTCTTTGATTTTATAGACAAAAGTTTGTTTTAATTTTAGTCCTTTTTAGAGGCAAGCATGGTGAAATTTGGTCTCACATAGTGTGGGCATGCAGTCACGAGGGGTCAGTCCTTAGGGGAAAAACATCATGCTGGGGACATGATGGTGATGATGACAAGGCCAGGTTCAGATCTGTTTATAGGGTCACGATGAGTCATCGTTGACTCAATGGCACTGAACAACACCACCTTCTGTTTGACTGCTGTATTGTGGAAGCTCAGGTTACATTTTACATTTTATTTTGAACTTGATCTTGAGAATAAAGAAATTGAATCTACTGAGCTATTAAAAAACATTTTTCATGATAATTGCAGTTCTTTGTTTTCCATATAATTTTGTTCTTAAAACAAATCAGCTCACTAACTTTGTTATGTTGAATACTCTGATTTTTCACTTGAACTTTCCAGTGTTTTAGAGTTTTATAAAGTGGAATTTGGTGTTCCTAGATAGACTTAGGTTTCTAACATATTGCCTTAGCAAGCATCTCCCAAGTTGGTTTTCTCACTGAGAACAGAGCTTTGTATGAATGTGCTTCTGGTCGACTTCATGTAGTGTGAACCTGTGCTGAGACATGGGGCAGCCCCTGGCCTGCTGCACTTGCACTAATTCTCTTCTTCTGTGCACAGTGTTCCCGAGCATCCCCGAGAAGCCCGGCATGCCCTGTCCAGGAGAAGACAGTGAGTACCTCAGCGTTCCTATCCTCGTATGTTGTGCTCTGGGAGGTGGAGCTAGTTGACCTGCATGACATGGTGTTTTGTGGAGGAGAAGGTGGCCTGTAGGCCTGCACTGGATGGGAAGTCGGTTTGTAAGTGTATGATAGGGTCCTGAGCCAGGGCCTTTGTTTTCTTGTGTGTGTACCAACTGCTGCCTTGGGTAGTTGGAGAGGACTGGCAGGTTTGGGCAAGCTGAGTCCAAACTTTTTACTACACACGGTTGGAGTTGCTGAGTGGTCAGTTTAGTGTGGGTTTTGGATTTAGGGGAGAAGTTGGAGCTGAAGATGGATCTTTGGAAATTCTCAGCATGGAGGTGGCTATTGATTTTACACATTCTTATGGAAAGAGTGACTGGTGATGCACCTGGCTGTAGAGTCCCCCAAATGAATGAGGAACAGAGAAAGAGTGGCCAGTGATCAGGCTGATGCATTTTAAGGAATGAACAAAACTTTCTGGTGAGTGTGGAATCCTGCCTAGGGCAGTGGGGGTGCCCTGGAATCTCTGAGAGGAGGACTGGCTGTGAAGAAGGTAGGAGTGAAGGGTGCAGGTGAACATTGACCCTTTCACCTTCAAGGGCCTTCTCAGAGACAGGCACCATGGGGGAGGGGCAGCAGAGCTCCAGATCAGGGGGAGGGATTGACTGGCATGTAGGATAGAAGTAAGTAAAGCATATGCAGTTAGTGATAACAGGTACAGCCTGGGGCAGGTCAGGAGGGCTGGGAGAGTTAGATTCAGGAAAGGCAAAAGTGAGGACTAAGGACTTTCTGGATCAGGCTGGTTTGTCCAAGCTGTGTGCAAATGGAAGTTGCTTGGGAGTTGTTGTGGTGTACCGTAGAGTCAGAACTGACCCATAGCTGACCCTCTAGTGGCTTTTCCAATGTTTGCCCTTCCTTCTCCTGCCAAGCAGCCTGTGGCCTTGAATGGTGTACCTTTGGGATTGCAGCGTTTGCCAGAGGCCACCAGAGCTCCCTCCCTTGGGAGTGGCAGGGTATATTTATAAGGTGGGTCTTGCAGGAGAAGTAGATAGGGCCTGCTAGGTTGTGGCTAGGGGGGGAAGCTGCATCCATAGGAAGCAGAGAGGAGCTGTGGTGGGAGGGAAGCCTCAAAGGCAGTTGAGTTTCAGGGACTTTTTTCCTAGAACTGCCTGTGACAGTGATGCTTTGGTGTGAGGAGCCACCTGGGTTTAGAGTCAAGGTACAGCACATACCTGCTGCTCTGAGACTCACCCTTGAGGTCCTCAGCTCCTAGGGAGAGGATGTGGGCCTAGAAGGGCTTTGCTGTGCTCTGAGAACTCACGTGTCCTGTGGACCTAGAAGGAGATGAGACAATCCTAATGCCTCCAGGTGTGGTTGGTGCTCCAGGACCACACCCTGTTCTGACATACTGAGGTCACAGGAGGGATGCTTAGTGAGCCTTTGGCTGCAGTGACACTGTGTCTATGTCTCTTTGCCCCTCCTGACTGACTCCTGAACTCCTCCCACCCAGAGATGTCACCAGCTAGCTATCCTACCAGCAGGGCCTGGGATGCCACATTACTGCCAGCCTTGATGTCAGCTCCGTTAGTGTCCAGAGCGGGGCACTCACTGCTCTCTGCTCAGCCAGCCTCGGCCACATCACTGGCCACTCCAGGTTGCACCCTTTTCCTGCAGTCTTCCACCTCCTGCTGTGTTGTGGGATTGGTGGCCATGTCTACCTATGGCTTAGACCTCTTCTCGACCTCACCTGGAGCCATCTATCTCTCATTTGCACAACCTGATCTCAGCAGAGCAGGGGTAGGGCTTGAGAGGACACAGGACACCTCACAAGGGGTCTGTGCCAGAGCCTCACGTAAGCGAGGCTGCAATCACCCAGCAAGAATTCAGAGAATGTGGATTGGGCTCGAGAAAGACTGTCTGCCCTGGAGTACACACTCACATTCTTACTGAGAGTGGCTCTGGGGCTCTGGTGACCACTCAGTGTCGTGGAGAACATTCCACCAGCAGGTACCAGGGGTGGTGGCTTCCCTAGGGTTGGTGCCACTTAGTATGGTAATTCATGGTGTCACCTTCCGCTTTGGACCTTCTTCTTAGTGATGTTTCCTGTCCATTTGAATCAGCAGATAATAAATGTAGTTGTAAGATACTTAATTGTAATATTTCTTAGGTTATACAACTCTAATAACAAAATTGTTTTGTAAAATCTTTCTGTATTGAATTATGACGTTATCAGAAACCAAGCAGAGCCTTATGAAATTTTTTTTCTATCATTACTACTTCATTTTTCCAAGCAACTATTAATAAAATTTCATAGATACTAATTTCCACAATATGGCAGCTAAGACATCAGAAAATTTGGCAAAATCAGCAACTATAAAAACATCAGTAGCAAAAAAAAACCAACCCCAACAACAACAATAACAAAAATAAAACCACCAGCAGCAACGAAAACGCAGTGTGTGCAGACAAGAGAACCCGTATGCCTTGAAGAATAATAGTAATTATTATTACTATTATTATAATAATGCTCATGATGGCAGCTCTGACCAGATCAGATTCATTGATGTTGTTCAGGGCTGTCACATTGGCTCTTAGTCATAAAAACCCTGTGCACAACACAACAGAACACTGCCTGATCCTGTACCACCGTCACTGTCATTGCTATGCACCATTGTTGCAGGCATCGCATCAGTCCATCTTGTTGAGGGTCTTCCTACTTTTTGTTGACACTGAACTTTACGAAGCTTGGTGTCCTGGTCTCTCCTGATAACCTGTCCAATGGATAGGAGATGAGGTCTCGCTATTCTCACTCCTGAGACATATTCATTCTTCCAGCTGTCGTATGTTTAGTATTCTTCACCAAATCATAATTCAAAGGCACGTCTTCTCCCTTCCTTATGCATTGTCCAGCTTTCACATGCATATGAGGTGATTGAAAATACCAAGACTCCAGGCAGCCATGCCTTAGTCCTCCAGGTGACATTTTAAATACTTTTTAACATTTTAAAGAGGTCTTTTGCAGCAGGTTTTCCCAGTGCAGTATGTCCTTGGATTTCTGACTGCTGCTTCTCTGAATACTCATTGTGGATCCAAGTAAAAGGAAATCTTTGACATATTCAATCTTTTCTCTCTTTATCATCATGTTGCTTATTGGTCCAGTTGTTAGGATTTTGGAGTTTTTTTAGTGTTGAAGTGTAGTAATCAATTCTGAAGGCTGTGCTCTTCATTTTCACAAGCCATGTTGTGTCATCTGCATATCACGGATTCATAATAAGACTTCGTCCAGTCCTGATGCTGCGTTCTTTCTATAGCCTAGCCTCTCAGACTCTTTGCTCATGTTACATATTGAATAAGTACCATAAAAGGATACAACTCTGATACACACTTTCCCTGGTTTTAAACTATGCTGTGTCTCCTTGTTCTTTTAGAAGGGCTGCTTCGGGGTCTATATACAGGTTCCACCTGAGCACATTTAAGTGTTCTGAAATCCCTGTTTTTTAAAATGTTATTCATAATTTGTTATCCTTTATGCCATTTAATGCCTTTGTCGGTAAAGCATGGGTAAACATCTCTATTATTTTGTGCTTTTGGTCAAGATATATCTGACATTAGCAATAATATTTCTCAGTCCTCCTCTGGTGGTTTAATGGCAAGAAGCTGCACTTTAGTCCTGAAGGCACGTGGTTCGAGGCCACCAGCTGCTCTGGAGAAAGATAAGCAATCTCCTGTGCAATTGACTGCCTCTGAAGACCCGCCAGAGGGTCAGCTAAGGGTCAGTTCTGATTCTATGGTACACAACAAAAATAACCTCTGATTATGACTTGAATTTCTTCCCTGTATTGATGCATTATAATTGGGTAAAAATGCCATCTCTGACTCAAGTACATTAGAGTGTTTAGAAAGTAAATTAGCAAAGAGTTTTAACCTTATAGGCCTATCTGTATGTGTAAGCTGGGCATATGAAAAATTTGTTGTTGCTATAACAGATTTTTTTTAAAGATGTATTTTTATGAAAACAGTAAATTTCTGTTGAAACACTGCACAAAAACGTTACAGTCAGTCATTTTCATGTCACCTTGTTGTCTGTTAGTGGTACCATTGCTGGGGGCGGGGGGTGTCCTGAGAGTAGGTATTTCTCCACCCTTTTATGGGCATCCTTGCCATGAACTAACTTGTTGAGCAGGATTGTGAGTGTGAGGCACTGTGCATGAGTGTCCCAGGCTGCAGCAGCAAAGCTCTACAAAGTGAGTTACTTAAAATGAAAGAAATTGACATTGACTCCTCATTTACTGACATGTTTAGGTTCCAGAGACCAGGTTGTTACGTGAAAATCAGCGCTATACAAAAGTTGGCATTGTGCAAAAATGGAAAAGGAACACATTGCATAACTGCCAAATTGTGCCATCATATGACTGCAGATTACTAAGAACAGTGGCTTAGTAAATTGATACATAATCTTAAACATTACAGCTAGTGTTCTACCTGCAGGGTTAGCTTTAAAGTTGGCTTTTTTAGCCATTAGTTAGCCACCTCTGGTCTCCAGCTCCCTTAACTACAGGCACATGGTCTTGCAAATCAGCATCAGCTGCAGGACTAGGATAAGAGTGTTTCCCACATTGAGCAGCAAGACTTGGGGTAAACTTGACTTGTAGCAGTAAGATTTGAGGTGAGCAAGGCTGGTGGTGACAAGACCCTGTGGTGGAAAAACTGTGACATTACAGTGGCCAAACGGTGGCAAGGTGTGCTTCTTGTTTTTGTGCTGGCCACAGCTGAAGGTTTGACTGTCTTGCCAAATGTTTGAAAGAGAAGCAGACTTATAACTGCTCCGAGGCAAAGCTTGCTGGATGATTTTGATTAATTGCTTAATTGAAACCATATTCTGGACTTGTTGAGGAATTGTGCCTTAGAACTGTTAGGCTAAACCCTAGGCTTGTATTGGGTAGTATTCTTTGCCTACCCACTCTACAACCTCCTTCCCTAATAAACCCC